GGGTGGCCGTTGGCCCCCTGCCTTGCTCAGCATGTGACCCACTGCTGCAGCTGTATGCCTATGCCTACACCAATCACCCATGCCTGTCTAGGACTATAGGTGAGAGCCTATGCCACACACTTGGTGGCTGACTCCCTGGCACCTGAGCTGAATCCATACAGGAGGAGTGGGCAGACTCCTGAGGTCACATACTTAGTGGTAGGTCTGGCCACCTGGTGGCAGGATGTTGGAGCTTCAGGGACACCAGTGGTCGGGCTAGCTCACACGAGCAGCCTATTTGGGCATATCAAAACAAAACAAGAAGCTAGGACACAGTAAGCAAACATAAAATAAATAAATATAATAACTTATTGATAGCTTGGAGACAGCAGTCAATATCAAATCACATAAAGAGGCAGACCATGATGGCTTCAGCAAGCTCCCAAAATAAAGAATCAAGAAATTTTCCAGAGGAAGAGAATTTCTTGGAATTACTGGAGGCAGAATACAAAAGATTAATATACAGAACCCTTCAAGACATCAGGAAGGAAATTAGGCAAAACGCAGACCAAGCCAATACAGGAACTTAAGAAGATTAGAGAAGAGCATAATGACAAATTTACCAGGCTACGAGAATCCATAGAGAGACAGCAATCAGAAATCCAGAAGATTGACAATAAAATTTCAGAATTAGACAAGTCAGTAGAAAGTCACTGGAGCAGAATTGAGGCAATGGTAGTCAGAATTATTGAGACTGGAGATAAAGCACTTGACACCAACTTATTCGAGGAAAAATCAGATAAAAGTATTGAAAAAATGAAGAAACCCTAAGAATTATGTGGGACTCTATCAAGAGGAATAACCTACGAGTGATTGGAGTACCAGAACAGGGAGAATAACAGAAAATACAGAGAGAAATGTTGAAGATTTTTTGGCAGAAAACTTCCCTGATATCGTGAAAGAAGAGAAGATATCTATCCAAGATGCTAATTGAACCCCACATAAGGTAGATCCCAAAAGAAAGTCACCAAGACATATTATAATCAAACTTGCCAAAACCAAAGATAGAGAATTTTAAGAGTGGCTAGGGATAAACAAAAAGTCATCCACAAAGGAGAGTCAATAAGAATAAACTTGGACTACTCAGCAGAAACCATGCAGGCAAGAAGGGAATAGAATGACATATATAAAGCCTTGAAGAAAAAGATTGCCAGCCAAGAATTATATATCCAGCAAAACTGTCCTTCAAATATGATGGTGAAATTAGGGCATTTCCAGATAAACAGAAGTTAGGGAATTTACAAAAACCAAACCAAAATTTACAAGAAATACCAAAGGGAGTCCTCTGGTTAGAAAATCAGTAACATCAGATAACAACCCAAGACTAGAACAGAGGACAGAGCAACCAGATATCAACCCAGATAGAGAAGCCACAAAAGTAAATCAAAGCTAAAACACTGAAAATAGGGAAACAGATGTCAATACGTAAAAGATGACAACATTAAAACAAAAAAGAGGGACTAAAAAATGTAGACATAGATTTTTCATATGGAGAGAAAGTCAAGGTGATATAAAGAAATAAAAAACTGGTTTAAACTTAGAAAAATAGGGGTAAATATTAAGGTAACCACAAATGAAACTAACAATCCTACATACCAGAATAAAAAACAAGAAAAATATAAAGACTCTGCAAATACAAAATCAACAACAATGAAAAAGATAAAACAAAAATGCATAAAGAAAAAGGACTCAGCACAGAAAATTAAGTGGAACAAAGAAACTATCAACAACACATAAAAATATATATAACAGTCTGTCAAACTAGTTCATGATATGAATATAGGGCATCCTCCAATTTGAGATGTAGAGGATTGGTTTCTGATGTGAGAGGTCTGCTCTGGCAACCCAGCATAGGTTCAGCTGCACAATGCCAACCCCAGCCTACATTTCATTCCCACCTCCCACCTCCACAGCTGTCTCCCCCAGCCTTGGCCGCCCCCTGTTCAGAGAGATCAGAAACCAGTAGGAGGCAGGAAGAAAAGATATATACCTCCAGCCCTTTCAAATCAGAAATGAAAAAGTAGAGTATTGGAGAAATATGAAGGCAACTGGTAGAGACAGTTTATGGCCGAAACAAATTCCCTTTTGTGCACAAATCTTTATAGTTCAGCATTTGAAGGTTGGTTATTTTTTCAAAGGGATCTTAGGAATGTGTTCCTTGGAAACAGGAATTCTGTCCTCTCTTACACCCTTATGTGCTATATTTTTCAGGTTATCTGAGTAAGACTTGATTTGACTTCTAAAATAAAATTTGGAAAAAATTCAAACCATCTAGCTTTTTTAACTTGAGCCTTGAGGGAAAAGTCAGTGCTATATATACAATAATATGTGCAATAACCATATTTATAACAGTGAGTTAAACTTTTGCATTTATTATTACTATCTCTTTCAGTAATAAAATAATTTAAAGATTATAAAATTCCAGAAACATTAGAAAATAGTAGATGAAAATTTGACCACTTCCATTCTCTTGACAATAGAGTTACAAACAAATACCACAAAAGTATAGGCACATGGATAGAACAGATATTTTTTAAAAATTTTCTGCCCATTGTTATTTCATGTCATTGTCTTAATGTCTTACTATAAAATTTATATTTAATAGCTGTCTTCTTTCTTCCTTCAAATTATTTTCAGAACCATAGAATGTGCTTTGGGGAGTTTTTGAAATCTTTATTTTCTAATGCAACTTAAATATATAGCTATAATTTTTATCATAATAAAAAGATAATTTTGATTTCCTTTTCTGCTTACATTAAAATCCGTACATTCTATATGGTGTCAAGTATAAGCTAACTTTTTTCAATAGAATTCTCTAAAAATTTAAACCTTTGTTGAATGTACTAATTTTGAGCTATACCAATTTATTCTTCCTTCTCCAGCTTCTCGGACATCTATTCAGAGTGAACTCCATCGAGATAGGAGGTACGGTTATATTCATAATAGAGGACATATGTTCTGTTAATAATTTAAATAAAACTATGTTGTCAGTTAGCAAGTTAAATTGTTCTCATTCGTAAGCCATGTATTATTGTGTTCTGCCTCATCAAAACATTTCCTGAATTAATCTACAAGTTTGAATGATGATGATTTTGCTTGAGAGAAGAGACAATACAGGCCCGAAAATGTTCTTTTGCCTGTAATTATTTATTGGAGTCAATGTTAAAAAATGTTTATTAAACAACTGCTATATGTAAAGCATTGCTGTAAGTGCTTCTAAAGAATACTTTGTACGTCGTAGCTATTTAGTGAATGTTACATAGATAAATGGATAGATGACAGGGTAGGAAATTGAATGGAAGGGTGGAGGAAAGGAAAAGGCAGACAGGCTGGACAGACAGCTGGATGGATAAACGTCTGGTTAGAGGGAGGAGTAAGTAATGGTTAGATGGAAGGAAGAACCAGTCAGTGGGCCGATAGATGGTAGAATGGATGAAAGGATGGATGGACAAATAGAAGGATGGAAGGTAGATAGGTGGATAGATGGATAGATGGTGGATTGATAGATGGATGTTTATAAGACATAATCCCTACTTTCAAGTTCCTTACAGTATAGTGTAGAGTACTTAAGCATAAAGACTTTAGTGTCAGACAGAACCAAGTTCAAATCCTGGCTTCACTACTTTTCTACCATGTGACTTTGGACAAACTACTTGACCTCTCTTAACTTCTGTATCCCCATCTATAAAATGAGTCTAATCATACCTACCTCATAAGGTTGTCATAAGATTAGCATGTAAAGTGCTTAATGCTTATTAAATTGTAACTCATTATTTTTATTATTTGGTTAGACAAAAGCTATAAGCAGAGGTTCTTAGGGAAGGCAATTCAAGTGTAATTTAAGATCCTGTTCTACCATTTCACAAGCTAGTATGTGAGTGTGCAGGTTTTGATAATGATAGTGCTTTTTGATTTTTAAAATCTAATTTGGTTTTCCACGGAGTGCTATAGAGAGGCAGAGCAAGTATCATCATCCTTACAGGTCAGATAAGGAAACTGAGGCTCAGAGAGATTGATTGATTTGCTCAGGGTCACACAGTTGGTATTTTTTAGGAAATCAGGTTAAAGGTAAAATTTAAACATGAAAACGTAGAATTACGTTAAGAAAACAATGAAAGAAGACATCCCTAAGTCACTACTACTCCTAGTATTAAAGATTCATCATCAAATCATATATAAAACTGACCAGGAACACAGACATCTGAATTCTAAACACCTAAAGATAACTTTGAATTGAGGCAAAGATAACTTTGAATTGAGGCAGAGGTGGAGTGAGGCAGAACAGAATATTCTTTTCCTATGGTAATTTTTGTTTCAGAGTATGTGCTTTATAACAGCAGGAAGCCAAGCAATTCCATTTGACCAGTGCATCTTCCTACCTTAGGATATATTCGTGTTTGTACTGTAGGCCAAAGAACAGGATCCTGGAAAGAGAAGATTATATGGGCCTAAATTAGTCTGTAGGAGCCCCTGGGTGGTGCAAATGGTTAAGCACCCAATTAATAACTGAAAGGTTGACAGTTCAAACCTACCCAGAGGTTTCTCAGAAGAAAGGCCTGGCAATCTGCTTCTGAAAGATCACAGCCTTGGAAACCCTGTGGAGCTGTTCTACTCTGCACATGTGGAGTTACCTTGAGTCGAATTGACAACAGCTGGCAATTGGTGATTAGTCCTTATCCTTATCAACCCAGGCAGGGCTAAGTATACTCAGGGTACATCTCTAACTTTTTGAGGTCAAGGTCTTAGAGGATGACTGCCATTTGCCCCCTTGAAGCCTGTCTAGGTGCGCTGTTAGAGACAGCCAGGGCTGGACAGGTTATTTCTATGAATGCGGCAGTTCTTGCATACTTTTGTGAGTGATGGTGGTTTTATAAATCTTCGAGCATTTGCAGATAGACAATAGCTTGTTTCCAACCTGCAATACCTCACTGAGGCTTCTGTTTGCAGGCGCCCAGAGATCACCATCGTGGCAGCTGAGCCGCTGAGGCCAGCCTCTTGGTTCCCGGGAGCCCCTCCCCGAGGATTGGGGTTTCCCCCACCTTCTTCTGCAGGCCTGTGGAGGCCCAGTGAATTGGTTCCTGCTGAGGTGAATAAACATCACATTATCTCTTTCCATTTTATTTTTAAAATAAAGTTCAAAGATAAGAACAGTGAGACTTACGAGCACCTTGGCCATTTGCCAGAAGATGTCTAAAATCTGCATTCTTTATTTTGTAGCTCCCGCCTTCTTATGAGCAAGTCATAAAAGAAATCAACCAAGTTCAGGTTAACACTACAAATAATAATAATGCTGCTGCCGCTCCAAGGCACACTGTTACTTCTGCAACTCAGACGGACTTTTCAGAAGAAATAGACAACCACCTGCCTCAAAGTAATGCAAGTAATTTGTCCTTCCTGATCCTGACATACATCTAGGGAAGTAATCAGTAGACTTCCAGTCTTTAACATAATTTGCAATTTGTGCATAATTCATTGGACTCTGCTTCCCAGTCAGCATGATCACTGTGTGTGTTCTTTATTTGGGTATGCCATGATTATTATAATAGATCATTCTCACGAGTCATAGCCCCAACCGCCTGGGCTCACCCAAGTTTATAAAACAAAAGCATCGTCTGTTTAACTCTGATGCCCTCTGTTCCCATTGAGAAGGACGTTATGTTTAGCAACTAAAATTTGTTAAGATTCGAAGGGTGATTGTCCCGTTAGGCTTTCAAAGAGCTTTGTGTTAGGGCAGCAGAGATGAGAATAAGTTACTTTAGAAAAGTAAAACAAGAAATGTTAGAATTTTGACAACCAAGGAGAAATGGCTTATATGATAAATCTAGTGAGAATCAGAAATTTAATGGTGTTTTAAAATATTATATAATGAATATTTGTTATATGAACAAATATAACTTGAAGAATACTCCTGCAGGAAGCTCAGTATAAACATTTCCCCTATAACTCTAGAATTACTTTTTACTATTAAAGGAAATCAACATCCGTTTAATCCACATGTATGTTAAGAAAATATACTTATCTCCTGTTTTGTTTTGTTTTTCTTTCTTTTAAATTATAACATTGCAATTTCTTTTTGTCGTTTTGGTCTTGTCAGCACTACAGGCACCTCTCAAGCCTCTTCAGCCTTCCCCAGTGGTCTCACCCCGTGATCTTCCAACACATGTGGCACCTTTAATAGTCTTTGATATTTCCGAGGAACAGAAGTGTCCAGGAATCCCCAGCACTACAAAATGTCCAGTGCCAAGGCCAAGAACAAAAAGCAACCTCAGACCAGTCACCAGAAATACTCCCATTAAAGAGCAAAGTCACCAGAGGATTAGTGTCACAGCCACAGAAGAGACATCTTCCCCAAGCCGGCCCCAGTCTCTGTTGGACAATACCAACGACTTGGACAGCCAGGCAGTGATGAACATTATGAACACAGAACGAAGCCAAAATAGTATTGTCTCAAGAGTCAAAGCATTTGAGGGTCAGACAAATACAGAAACCTCAGGACTGCGCAAGAAACCAGAAGTTGTTCCCCGCACAGTCCCCCCAAGGCCTTCTGTTTCCTCAGGGAAACCCTCCGTGGCTCCCAAGCCAGCTGCTAACAGAGCTTCTGGAGAATGGGACTCCTGGGCAGAAAACAGGCTCAAGGTGGCCTCCCGGGAAGGGCTTGTCCCACGCCCTTCACCTCAAGAAGCAGGAAGCATCCCAGTAACCAAACCTGAATTGCCAAAGAAACCAAATCCTGGCCTTATACGAAGCGTTAATCATGAGATTCTGGGAGGAGGGCCCATGGCCGAGGGCCCTAACGGTGGGAAGAAAGTCCCAACTCCTGCTCCACGGCCTTTGTTGCTCAAGAAATCAGTTTCCTCAGAAAACCCCACCTGTGCTTTACTGAAACCAGTCACTGTTCCTCCTCGACTGTCAGTGGCATCACAAACCAAAGCATTCAGGTCACTGGGAGAAGGGCCTCTTACCAACCCCCCGGTTCCAGTTCTGCAAAGCACACCCCCAGGAGACATCGATCTTATCAGCTTTGATGATGATGTTTTACCCGTCCCATCAGGGAACCTGGCTGAAGACTCTACCAGTTCAGAGATGGTTCTGGGTGAGTAAAAATCAGAAGTAGAGGGGAATCTAAACTCATCATAAACTAAAAAACCCATTCCTGTGGAGTCGATTCCGACTCATAGTGACCCTATAGGACAGAGTAGAACTGCCCCATAGGGTTTTCAAGGAGCAACTGGTGGATTTGAACTGCCAACCTTTTGGTTAGCAGCCTAAGCTCTTAACCACTGCGCCTCGAGCACTTCATCATAGGATATTGTAAATGGTACTTACTGTTTTAGTTTTCAGTACATGAGTTATTGAGGTGTGTGTGTGCGTGTACGTGTGTGCTATGTGTGGGTGCATGGACAGATACGGAGGAACAGAGAGAGATAGAAACATGGCGCTGGCTGGGGGATTGAGACAGAGGGAAAGGAAAGTATGAGGTGGGGGAGATAAGACCGAGAGAAAAGGGGAAACCTGCACAGAGCAGAAAGAGAGTAAATACAGAAATGCAAAAGTTGGAAATTTGTATTTAATTCATTTCTTACTGTTACAACTCATTGCTGCTGAGTTGATTGCGACCCCATGTGATAGAGTAGAATTGCCCCACAGGCTGTAATCTTTATGGAAGCAAACTGCCACATCTCTCTCCTCCGGAACAGCTGGTGGGTTTGAACCACCAGCCCTTCAATTAGCAGCCAAGCCCTTAACCACTGTGCCGACAGGGCTCCTCAATTACTATTATAGGAGCCAGGAAAAAGCAGTCTGGGGCAATTGGAAATTCAGGTTTCACATCGAAAGGATCCAGGGCATTGGTGGCATGTGCCATTAGGAGCATGTAGGGGGAAGCTTCTCAAGATGGTGTCTTAGTAATGTTCAGGAGTAAGAACGCATACTCTGTTAAAATAAAAGTAAAGAGATTTATTGAAGGTTGAAAACAGTTCAAACCTGGACACGTCTGATCTCACAAAGTGAAACCAAATGCTCTAAAATGGTGGAGTTGCAGAGGCATATTTATGAGGTAAAACCAGGAAGCAGGAGGCAGGACAACTCTAAGTGGGGGCTTTACAGCAATTGGTTGGAAACACATAAGTGAGCTATTTGGATTGGCTAGTTTCCTAACTCATAGACTAAGTAGTTGGGGGTTACAGGGTGTCACAAGGTAATTGTAAGACATCTTTCTAAGAACATTCTGTTAAAAAATAGCTTGTTTTGGGTGAAACATTTCCTGAGGGCTGCTAGTTTGAAGGGATTTCTGATAAGGGTCTTGCCTCAAGACCCCCCCTTAGAACATTCTTCCCATATCTTTAGTTTAACCACAGAGAAAAACCTTTCCTTTGTTATGAACTTGAGTCTGTCTAAAGGTTAATGGTTGCAGGGGAGATAAGCAAAAGCTAAGATGGAGTGGGGGTTCAAGGCCTAGGCCAGTCATTCTGATTCTAGTCAAGTGCCTCCATTTTGGCGCTCTCACACAGTTACCTAGTGCCGCTGTAACACAAGTACTACAACTGGGTGGTTTTAAAGAACAAGAATTTATTGTTTCATAGTTCTGGAGGCTAGAGATCCAAATTCAGGTCGTCGGTTGTAGAGGAAGTTTCTTCCTTGTCTCTTTCAGCTTCTAGTAGCTGCTGGCAATCCTTGGCCGTCCTGGGCTTGTAGATTCAGCTGCCTCCTTCTTCACTTGGCGTCTTGCGCTACACGTGTGTTGTTCTTTTTATGACATCACTAAGAGGATGAGGTTTAAGGCCCACCCTATTCCAGTATTCCCTTAACCTAACAAAAGGAAACCCCTATTTCCAAATAAGAGTCCCATTCACAGGTACAGGGGTTAGGACTTCAACATAACTTTTGGGGGGACACAATTCAATCCCTCTCGCATGAGAAGTCATACAGTGGCCCCTGAGAGACTCCTCAGGTTGATCCAGCCCTACCCCACCCCCAGTGCCAGGAGCAGGGCCAGCCCTGGGGCGGGGGTGGGGGTGGGGGAGCACTCTGGCAAGAGCAATGCAGGGAGGGAGGACCTAGCCATATATTGCAACCATTTTTTTCTGTAATCTTCAGGGAACATCTTCCCTGGGGAATGCAAGGTTTTGTAAATAAAATACAGTGCTGTGGGTTTGCTGCCAAGATCAGGACAATTAAATTTCCCAAGAGGCAGATGGAGGGTGAGATGGTAAAGCTTATCTTTGATTTGTCAAACTAAGCTGCTCTCTTTGTCATTGATAAGATTCCTTTTACTGCTGTTTATGTATTTGGGGTAGAATTTGTGAACATATAAGCTTAGTAGTATTTTCAAAAGGTTAACTGTCATCTTATAGATGTTTAACATGGATCAAAATGGTACAAGCTTTGTGACTTCAAAACGAAAGTCTTCAAAGCACAGTTGTGTTTTAAATGATAGCAAATATTTATTAAATATTTATCAGGCACATAATATTGTAACTGGCTGTAGCTTGTAAACTAAAAAGACACACCTCTTGTCCACTTTTCAAGTCTTTGTTAATTTCATTTTCTTATTTAAACCTTCTTTTGTTTTGGTGTTAAAAGGTTCAGGGTAGGACAAGGAGGGGTAAATCCAACAGCAGCAAACAGTAGGAACGGGGGTGGAAATAGCACTTGCCAAAGATATATCACCTGCTAGAGTCTATGGGACTGAAAACTTGGTTAGGTAGTTACTGAGGATTTATTCTGTGTCATCAAGCAGATAATTACAGTCATCTTCAAAAAGGAAAGTCAACACTACACATTCAACATGAATACAGTTTCATGCTTCGTGCTCAGCCTTTTCTTATTTCTACCACCTCATTGCACCACACTTAATTATGGGGGCAGTCTTTTAGCAAAATGTGTAATTTACTTGCCCCACCTGACTTTAATCATTGCTCTTGACTATGGGGTTATACTGAATGAGCATTTTATCTTCTCTCCAAACCTGCTTCTCCTCCTGCACCTCACTTGATGACACCGTCACACATCACACATCCAGACATCCCTAGGGAAACCTAGAGATCACTCTCAAGTCTCCCTACCTTGTCACACAGTGACTAGCTGCTTGGACTTGGAGTCAGACAAGCCAGGGTCTACCTCTTAGTTGCTGGAAGACCTTGAGCTGTTTAACTTAACCTCACAGTGCCTTAGTTTCTTATCTGTAAAACATGATGATAATACTCCTCATAGATGTTGCAAGGAATAAATGTGATCATGCAGGAAAGCGCTATCATATTGTCTGAAACACAGTAACTGCTCATTCAGTAGTAGTTATCATGGTTAGAGTCCCTGGTTGGGGTAAACAGTTAACACGCTTGGCTGCTAACTGAAGGGTTGGAGGTTCGAGTCCATCCAAAGGTGCCTCAGAAGAAAGACCTGGTGATCTACTTACAAAAAATCAGCCATTGAAAACTCTATGGATCACAGTTCTGCTGTGTAACATGTGGGGTTGCCATGAGTTGGAATCGACTCAATGGCAACTGGTTTAGTTTCATGTTTGTTTTTATTATGGTTGGAGCCCCTGCGTAGTGTAAAGGGTTAACTCACTCAGCTACTAACCAAATGGTTGGAGGTTCAAGTCCATCCAGAGGTGCCTCAGAAGAAAGGCCTGGTGGTCTACTTCCAAAAAATTAGCCATTGAAAACCCTATGGAGCACAGTTCTACTCTTAACACAGGAGGTCGCCATGCGTTGCAATCAACTCAACGGCAACTAGTTTGGTTTGGGTTTTTTTTTATTATTGTTGGAGTCCCTGGGTAGTGCAAAGGGTTAGCTCACTCAGCTGCTAACTGTAATGGTTGGAGGTTTGAGTCCACCCACGGGCATCTTGGAAGAAAAGCCTGGTCATCTACTTGTGAAAAATCAGCCATTGAAAACCCTATGGAGCATAGCTCTATTCTAACCCACATGAGGTCACCATGAGTTGGAGTCTATTCAATGGCAACAGTTTTCTTTATTTATTATAGTTACTTCTTGCCCTTCACATCCAATTAGTTACCAACTCCTGCTGGTTTTACCTTCTGAGCAGTTCTTGGATCTGCCTTTTGTTTCCATCCCTCCTGCTACTGCCCCACTTAAGCCTTTTTTATCTCCTGCCCAGATTACTGCAGTGGCCTCCTAAATTGGCCATTGCTTCTGCCTCAGATCCATCATCCTTCACACTGTGCCTACCCAAGGGATTTTTCTAGAGTGCACACTGGACCTTGTCACGCCCCTGCCTATTGTCCTCCAGGGGCCTTCAGGATCACCTCTAAACCCTCTTCATGGGGAGGAATTTTCGTGTGTTTTTGGTTTTGTTTATTGATTTGCTTTGGGGCTTGGTGATTTTTTTGATCATATATCAACAGCATTGTCTTTGTAAATAACAGATGGTAATCTCCTTATGAAGCTTTGCCTAATCATCCAGACATCAGCCAGAAACTAGAATACAGGAGAAAGGAGAGACAATCACAAATACATCTTCCTTTTTCCTGTCCCTCACATATAAAGAAAATCTAGTAGAACAGTGTTCATGAAATGAAGTTGCCTTATTAATCTCAGAAAATACTGAAGCTATGAAAACATTGTAAAGATTAGAAAAATTATTAAAGGAAAACTCATAAAACAGGCAATTTAATATTGGATTCATTTCTTGAGTGGAATGCCTTCCAGGTTAATGTAATGGAGCTGAGACGTGTTAGCAATTCTTCACACCTTTACAAATCATACCCAATTGTCAAAGAAAAAGCAGAATGCGTCTGCTGTCAGCCCCATTACACAGACTAGAATAATAGTTTAGCAGCCAATTTCTGCTATTAACAGAACTCAAGGGAAAGAAATAACAGAAAGCAAGCCAGGGATGGTGAAACTAATTATGATGACAAGCACATTATTAGGGACAGGTAATGGGCAGAGAACTGCTTTCTCATCAGCCCGGTAATGAAGACCATGCGGATAGAGGTGTAGGGAGACCTGCTTGCTTGGCAGCAGGTGTAGAATAATTGGTGTTGGTGTGAGGTGCTGGAAGGAAAGTAGAATAAACATGGCAAATAAAAGTAGGGAGAAATGCCATTGACTTTCCTTAGATTTGGGT